GTAAAAGTAAAAGGTAAGCGGAGCAGTTTATGAGGGTATGTAAGGAAAGATGACTGTTAATCGCAAACTTGAAGTGACTAACAATGGAGTGATCGGGAAAGCTTCCTTTTGTGGTGGGGGGCGGTTCAACAAAGTAGCGATTCATCGGAAGAATATCTATCTATCTATCTATATATCTATTTTCACGTTTATCTAATTTAACTCACTTAATAACACGGTAGAATGTTACATTTATTTTTGTCTCGAAAATGCCAAAAACTCAAAAACAGCATCTGGCCTTTGACGTTTGTTTTTCCTTATTTGTAAAATCCAATATAACCTTCTTATCTGCATCACGTATTTACTTGAGTAACTTCACCTATCGCAGGGAATACAAAGTGCGTATCTTGCTAAAGGTCAAAACTGCCGATCATTGACTGTTAGCACCACAGTCTAACGGACACAAATCATGCCACCTACTCGATGCAAGGAGTCACCAGTCTGTTCGTACGAACAAGAACTGGTTAACTTTGCTCCTGATACGGTATTTTCGAACCTCATGGCTCATGGCGGCGTAAAAATTCAGACTTGTAAATATGAGCAGGCTATCTGATCCTGTATTAAGTTTCACTGAATGAATTCAAGTCGGCTCAATGACCCGTGCAGAAACAGCAAAGCCAGCTTAATATCAAACTCATCACAGGTGGGAACAAATATCAGCAAATTGGAAAACGAGTGAAGAAACGAAACGAAATCGAAGTAAGGTAATCACCTTTACGCGGGAACTCACCAAACGAAGCATAAATAATCTATTCACACGGAAAGAAAATGCTTGACATTTTACATAATTCTTTGCGCTTGGACTAAATTCTTTATTCGGTCCAGTTACCTCTTATTAATTATTTACATCTTTTTCGTTATCAAAAAACGTTTCGCTCGATTTACTCTTCGGCCTTCATCAGGTATGTGTCGATCAGGGTAACCTACAAGGAATTTCAAACTGAAATCTATTTAATCTACGGAGAGTGACTGTTCTCGTTTCACTGACCATGTTTAGTTTTTATTTTTAGTACTACTCAATTATTGCTCTCTTCATTTCCCCGGAGTCCAAGTAGTCCCAGGGACTTATTTCGAAATCACAATGTCTACCCAAGTAGACTCTGTCGCCCAGGGATTTATTTCGAAATCACAATGTCACTAAATTCACGAACATATACTTTAATCCACTAGGCTGTTTTCCGCATGTAAATAATGATAACTCTAGAAAATCACACAGATATTAAATACTTATCTTTAATTTCATTATCATTATTATTACTACTAACTGTCGCTTCACTGACGGCAACATAATCAAATTTCAAATATAAATTGTATGTTCATCTAAAATGCTACGTTTATTAGAAAATATATTCAGTTTAAATTCAGAAGGAATGATAAAAAATGACTTCAAAAGACTTTCGGCTCATACTCTTTTCCTATCATCCAGCCAGACAGAAAGGAAAATTAGCCCTTGCGAAATTGATGTTCGTTTCGATTCCAATCAAACTGTGTGTATGCGCGTTTGCGTATATATTTTACAATTTTACACCCAGTGATACACCTAAAAATATTTACTCAAACTTAAAAAATAGACAGAAAAAATATTTGCGAATAATCCCCGAAAATGTCAATAATCATATACTTATTATAAAATCCAGGTTGTGTGTGTGTGTGTGTGTGTGTGTGTGTGTGTCTGTTCGTTTATATATTGGATCGGATTTCCTACATTTTTCAACCGATTTCAACAAAACTTCACAGGACTACGTAAAATTACCTTTGCGGTGGTTCTGACAGCGCCAAAAATTGGAAAAACACAATTATTTTTGCACGAAATTCATTTGAAAACACGATTAAGAGGCATCGCTGTCGCGAGAATGAAAGGGCAACAACTCATATCGAGTTATACTTATTATTAAACCCAGGTTGTTTGTGGGGGGGGGGTGTTCGTTTATATATGGGATCGGATTTCCTACATTTTTCAACCGATTTCAACAAAACTTCACTTTTATTTTTGGCAGGTAGTATTTCTTATTGTCTTGCACACTTTTTTCTTTATTTTTACATTCAGAATGCTTTAAAAATTCCATTTATAAGACAATTGTTTATAATAAAATTCTATTCAATCGGTAGACTCATAACGATTGAAAACAATGTTTTTGTTTGAGTTTGACCAATTCGTAAAAAAAAAAAAAACTAAGACATGCGTGTCCGTCAACCTTAAACAATAATCTTTGTCAATTTTATTTTTCAGTCTTTACGATGGTGGATACTTGATCTATCTCTTACTGTTACATCCCCGGGAAACGCCGGGCTCTTCTGCTAGTATCTTAGCATGATGATTTTAGGACTTAAAAATATCAACGTTTATTTTCTTGTTCCTTCTTTAAAATTTTCAAATAAGCTTAGCTCGGTTCAGAGTAGGGGTTGTCCAAACTGGGTGGGAGGGAAATGTATTATTGCAATGTCTAATTTCAAGTCTTACGGCCGCATCACGTTGACATGTTGGTTTCTGTACGATCACCGAAATTAAGCAACGACGAGCCTGGTCAGTACCTAGATGGGTGACCGTTTGGGTATACCAGGTGTTGTAAGCTTTGATGTTCAGGTGATGTAATGGATAATGACTCGGAATTGTAAATTTGAGAGCCGAGTTTTACTTACAGTCGGGTTCGATACATTATCATACGCACAAATACGCTTGCGAACGGCATGAGTCAATCTCTCCAGCCCCTAGCTATGGGTTAAATAGTTTGACATATCACTAAAACATTATTATCTAAAAAAAAAAGAAGAAAAAACTCTTACAATCCTGACTTTAAATAAACCGTTATATATATTGCGTCCTGGGGGTGTACATTAAATGGTACAAGCTCACGAAAGTCTCTCTATATATATATATATATATATATATATATATATATATATATATATATATATATATATTAAAGGCATTTTTATGTTTAACGTTCTTTTTATAGATACAAGTACTTAAGTAAATGCTCTGTTTATAATAAACAGTATTAAATAACATTTACCGGCCTGAATGTCCGAGAAATTTTCATAGAAAATATTCGTCCTTTGACAGGATTCGAACCTGCATCCCTACGGAACCGTCATTTACGCTGACGGGCCTTGACCACTGGCCACAATGACGGTTCCTGTGTGCTGGTGTCTAGGCTGTCAGTTCCTACCTACTTGGCTCTCATATGGACAGGAGAATCCACTATATATATATATATATATATATATATATATATATATATATATATATATATATATATATATATATATTCGATGTCACGTCGGGTTCGACGTATGAGGGTCAAGCAGATCAGTTTCCAGGAAACTGACAGCCCGACACCGCACATGAGATTCGATTATAGTGGTGAAGGTTTCGTGGGACCATCCACACTTTTTTTTGAAGGGCCGATTACAGAGACCTGTTGCACTACGTGCCACAAGGTGCCCAAACAACCCTCAGCAGGTTTGAATTCAGAGTTGTCCTTCTCCTAGACCAGTTGCCATCAGGCTATAGAACCAAGTCTGTCCTGCTATTTTACCCATAGCTGGAGGGAGAAGAACAGGATATATATATATATATATATATTACATGCATGCAAAGTCATACGCAGACACTATGAGGGACGGGAAGAAAATTATCTCTTATGATACAGGTTATCAACATGAAGATATGTTCTTTTTAACACCTTATTTACTGCCACTTCAGTAAAAATGATGAAAATATTAGAAAGTAAAAGCCAACATTTTGATATACTCTTTATGTTTTACATGACAAAATAGAGAAAAAAATACCCCCATATATAAAGCTGCCGGTATGTGCAAAGCTATTAAACAATGTTCGATTTTTCAGCAGAATTTATTGCTTTTAGATTAAAATACGAGTACGTATCAACCAACAAATACTGATAAAACTTAGCAAAATCACAAAAAAATGACTGTACCAAATAACCGAATCCAGAGGACTTAAGGACGTTCAACAGCAGCAACAAATGAAATGGATAGCACATGTAACTCGAAGAGAAAGTAATGACATAATGAAGATGTTGACATTCCAGACTAATTCAAACAAAAAGTGAGGAAAGAAATCGCTATCAATACTGAAAAGGATAATGGCAGTAAGTAGACTTGAGTAATCTATTTTGTTGAAAGAATTGTTTTAAGAAATTAGCACTGGTTGCTCGGTCAATGAATGCCGAATGTTGCCTTATAAGTAAACGGTTAATATCATTATCTACTTATATTTATATCTTCTAAATAAATAAACGGAAAATTCGGTCTGTCCGTCTGTTTGTCTGAAACCCCCCTAACTCGGGCCACAGTTGCTCTACATTGACATATACCTTTTTGGAATCATGATGATCCCAGAATTGAAAATCTGTTCGTCATCTGGTGCTTGAACATCCAGCATTGGGATTTGTATCCGGATGAGAAGGGAACAGTTAAAAATTCATATTTTAAAATAACTGAAAAATTAGTGATTTTAAAAGTTTTCAATTTATACTGATTTAAAGTAACACAAACAATTTATGAATTAAAAAAGTTGTTTTAAATTCAGTTGAAAATATCACCAAAACCTTTTGAATGGAGGAAATCAATTTTATTTCCTCAAAATGCCAAGGAATCAGCGCTAAAATGAGAGCTTTCGTGAAGTGAGGTTTTGAAGTTCCGCAGAGTTTGTGATTTGAAAAACTCAATTGAGTTTCAGCCCAAATCATTTTTTTGGTTGCCGGAATTGGACTTATAGCCCGAATCAGAATTAATGTGAGGTTTTGAAGTTCCATGGAGTGAATTGAAGAATTCAAGGTATTTTTTTCGAAATAACACGGAAAAATCAAAAGACCAGAGCTTTAAGGCAAAGTGAGAGAAGAGTAAAAGAGATACCAGAAGAGGCACAAGCTAGGATACAAGAAGATGCTGCAAGCTATAAAAGATCAAGTGCGTCTGAAACAGAAGAGATACAAGGCAGGAGAGAAGCAGATGGTGCAAGAAAGTGAAGGTCAAGAACTGCAGATGACAGTAAGAACTTCATCAAGGAGAGAAGCAGATACAACAAGGAAGAGAAGATGTAGAGCTACAGAGGATGATAGACTTATCAAAGAGAGAAACAGATGCAGAAAACCATAAGAAACACCTGATAAAAGACACGTCAGGCAGGTTAGTGATAATCACAATCATGCAAAAAAGGAGCTCAGCTTCTTTTTTGAGCCTGACCCAGTTGGCTTTTCACTACAGCTGTGACAGTGAATATTCAAATCATCCAAATATATCTACTGGATCAATGATCATTCAGTGTAAGCATTGTAATGCTCTCAGATTTAAGGATGAACCAGATGCGATGTTTTGTAACAAAGGCAAAATACAGCTGAAAAATTTACCAGTTCCTCCCGAACCATTACTATCATTTCTGGATGGGAAGGAGGTTGAATCAAAACACTTTATCCAGTATATTGGAAGCTACAGTAACTGTTTTTCAATGACTTCATTTGGAGCCAAATATGTTACCTTGCTAGGATGGAAAACTTGCATAATACAAGACAGAAACTAGCTTAAAAGTCCACATATATGTATTAGGAAATTCATATATATATATATATATATATATATATATATATATATATATATATATATATAATGGCTAAAGAAGTGACCGAATTCGTTTGTGACAATGGATAATACAGACAATTTTTGCACTCCGTTGCTCTCACCAAACGGAGAAATGTAAGATTGATGGAAAAATTAAATAAAAAAAAAAGGAATTCAATTTTCCTTGTTTCTTATAATCAACGAAAGATATTTAAAAGAAAGGTTGCTGCCAAAATATCCTTTAATTGTATTGGAGAAATTAATACTAGGAAGTCTTAACTGCAGAGCAGCTTACAAACCTGGATGAGACATTTTATGTGTGTAAATTCTACTTAAAGTATTACTGTCACAGAGTACACAAGCTCATAGAGTCATCTCAATACTGACTACCCCATTGTTTAGTGTCTGTTCACGCATGTGCTGTAAAAATCCTTCCGACGAGCTTCCAAGTTACATCAAGAATATGTAATGAACTTTTTGACGCTGTTCAAAATAGCTGAATACTTTCTGGACGCACACACATTAGGGGAATCTATGGCAATGTTGGAAAAATTTTTTGTGCAAAGCGTTTAATCATTTAGGATTTCATAGGACTAAAATGATGCTTACATTAATGTAACTACTACAGGAAGGAGAAGAGAATCAGACATTTTAAACTTTCAAATTATTTTTTAATGTGTGTTTGGATATTAATAAAGTTATATATAATTTTCTCTCATAGTTATATAATTAAATATTATATAATTAATCACCCCAAAAAAGGCAATACAGTAACTAAGACACAAGCGGTTACTGATCGTGAAAGTATAAGAAAAAGGGAAGCATTATTAAATAGCGAGAAAAATAAAAGAAGAGGAATCAAGAAGACAGTATATAACGACTGACATTGCATTTAAATTTCTGAAGATCAAAGTTGACTGGAAAGCAAGAAACCGATTAGTGAGTTTCACAGGTGATAAGTACGAGAAAAACTAATCAAAAACTTAGTTACATCTAACTGTTGCCAATCAACTACTGTGATATATCGATATGAGTAAGCAAAATAAAAATATTAAAAAAAATGTTTGACGTCAAAAATTAATTTTTCAAGTAAATTATTTTAAGTAATGCATAATATATGTTAATAAATTTAAGGAATTCATCTTAACCCCTGATGAGCGGATTAAAAATTGAAGACATGAGTTTGTGAAACATTTGTTTTTATCTGGTCTATGCCTTTTGGCGGAACGCTATCACACACACATTATATATATATATATATATATATATATATATATATATATATATATATATATACAAGTTATAAACAAGTTCAAAAGTTTGAAGCAACTCCCATAATTAGCATGAGATGAGCATAACAGAAGTGTGAAAAAAAAATGAAAAGCACTCTCAAGGTCACGGAAAAAAATGGAATCAATTAACAAACTTATACATTAAGAAACTTTTGCAACGAATGCCAAAAATTTGTGCTGTAGTAATCAAGGCTAAACGAGGATATTTTGACGCGAGCAAAATTTAATCATGAAATGTTTTTTTTCTTTTTGTCATAATAAAATTTCTAATAAAAAAAATACTGTCTCATTTTTTTAAGCATGTTTAATAAATTTTCTCTCGTACAAAATTACTTTTGTGGCCAATTTAAACAAATTACCAAAGGTTTTCTCAAACTTTTGAATTGTAGTACACACACACACACACATATATATATATATATATATATATATGAAAATACAGTTTTGGTTAACCCATTAATGTCACTGTAATATTCTGTAATAATTACATAAATTAAAACAAAATTCTGCTTTTAATGATCGGCCTCTAAAATATAGGTTATCAATTATAGGTTCATAAGAATCCAGAATTTATGAAATGGTTCTGTCTATAACATATTAATGCCTGTCATGCAATTTTTGGAAACAGTAAGTATTAATGGTTTAAAAGAGAAAATAATTTTATTAATGCGAAACTATATTGGAAATGCTCTAATTTCGGAATCATAAACGGGATATTTACCACCAGGTTCATACAACATGTCTCCTTTCCTCACAAAACTACTGTTGATACAATGAGGGGAATTAAAACCAATCTGGGCTAAAAGTAAAAGCCAATAAAAAACAAAACCGATAATAAATTAGATAGGTTAGTTAAACCAGGCGTTCAAATTCACCGCTGAGTCTCTGCCTGCATCTTTAATATCTCAATTTAGTCTCAAAACAGCTTTTGTTCTATTTTCGCTCCCCGAGTCCCATGTTATATATATTTCATCAATAAAAGCGTAATAACCTTTTTATTGACAGAATTGTTCTTTTCCTAGAGTTTTCAAGAAATATATTCTTAGAAATTCTTGGAAAGAATCAGTTTCCTTAGGGGCTTATAGATCTATATATCAGTGATACGTATTCCCAACAAACAAAGAATTGCCATATGAAGATTATTCCGCACAAAATTAAAAATATCCTTATTTGCTGACTTTAATATATTCCAGTTGTATTATGCGGTACTTTAGAAAGATTTAGTTAATGTTACCTGGTGTAATGAAGAGTAGAAACGATTAAGAAACATTTGTCTTTGAAAATCTGTACTTGTGATGGGCAAAATTCAATTAGGTAGCAAATTTTTCCACAATAAAATAATGACATTTTTCATACTAAATAGAGAATAAATCTGAGGAAAAAAGTCAAGCAGTACGTATCGAGACCAGCAGTCAGTAGCAGCTGCTGCTGATTTAGTGAAAAACAGATTATTACAGCAAAGTTACTACTAATTTTCTTAATTAGTATATATATATATATATATATATATATATATATATATATATATATATATAGAGAGGGGGAGAAAGGTGAATTGCTGATATCCCTGACGAGTGGACAAAAGTAATTCAGGAGGGTCCGCTTCAAACTCTGGAGTTGGATGTACTTAAGCTAACATGAAACAGCTAAGTGACAAATCTTTTACGTGCTTTTTATATATATATATATATATATATATATATATATATATATATATATATATAAGACTCTTCGGTAAAGCGAATCGAGTCCTGACGGTCACTGTGTTTATATAAAAATAAATACACTTAAATTCACCTTCATCCCTGCTGTGCGCCGACGGCTTAGTGGTAGAATCTCCGACTGACGTCGATTCAGTTAGAGGCAACCGGACACTAGCCACACTGAAGGGCTGTGATACAGCGAAACAACCTGTCTGACATTATATATATATATGAGAGAGAGAGGAAAATAGTGATTGTCAAATATATATATATATATATATATATATATATATATATATATATATATATATTAAAATGTCTGATGTCGCCATATTTATCACAACGTTTCGGCCGTTGTACACTCCGGCCTTCTTCAGGTAGTTGGAATTTCGAACTGAACCCTTTATTTCGCTCACTGGGGTAGACTGTTCTAGTTCTACGTGCCATGTTTGATGGATGTCAGTTATCAGTTATCTCTTGCTAATTTCCCTCTGAAAGTTCTCCACTGCCTTAACCGGGTATTGAACTCACAGTCTTTGGGTCCTGTCACTGGATCTAACCAACGCCTTTATCCACTGTGCCCTGTGTCCTTGAGGACATATGGGTATGAATTTCTGGGTATTATAAACCTAATTTCTTCAGCAACCATTTTTACCAGTGCTCATATTGCAATTTCGCTGTTATCATTGCATGTTTTAGCAGAGCTCATATTGCAACTTTGTTGTTATCATTGCTTCTCTCTGGCACTCCTTATTACTAGTTCCCATATTGTATTTATTTCTATGCTTGGTCGGCTCAGGAGATTTTGTCTACCCCAGTGAGCGAAATAAAGGGTTCAGTTCGAAATTCCAACCACCCGAAGAAGGCCGGAGCGTACAGCGGCCGAAACGTTGTGATAAATATGGCGACAAAGATGAGGACAATAGTCCGAATAATGTAAATAATGTACATACCTCATCTCAGAAATATAGACAGACTCTAAAATGTCTGATTGAAGTACAGTAAGACGCTGATAAGTTAATAGTGGGAAAACTATGTGAAACAAGAAAAATAATTATTATCAGAATTTGAAAATTGCTAAAGTCATGAATTTTATCGGCGAAAATCTCTACTCCAGTGAAAGAAATGTATGAAATAAGAAAAACAATTCTGCTCAGAATTTGAGAAAATTGTTAGACCTCAAACATGCTTTTTCTTTGCACATATTAAATAAATAAGGTGATTGGAGCATATCATTTGACGGCAGTTTAATATTTAGCGGAGAAAATCTGTACATAGAATAAGTAAGGTGATAGAAGCATAACATCAGTAGTGGTAATAATAGTCGACGAATTATTCTAAGATATTGTTAGTGTCGTAGACAGAGCTCAAAGAAAGACGTTTCAACGGGAATCACTTCTATTGTTCATGAATGTATATTTCTCTCGATTCTTTGAGAGTCAGTTCCAAGGAATCGAGAGAAATATTGCTCTGTATTCATGTTTTTTTTTTCTTGTTCACGTAGAAATTTGTCCTATTATATAATGTATGAGCCCGCTGAGAATAAGTCCTGATCTCTGCACTCCTAATCTATTAGGAAAAAAGTACTTGTTTATTAGATGATCAAAGTGCTAAAAAAAATCGACTGAGGTATCGTTTATTTTTATTTTTTACCAGACAGGTTAATATGCAAAACACTGCAACACGAAGAAAAGCGTGAACCAGATCAAATTA